TGATACCACAGGACAAGGAGCTGACAGAGTGGAGAGTGGTCAGTCTGCATTCCTTGTCTCCCGCTCTGTCATTCTCTTGTGCTGCCACATGGCCTGCGGGTGCTCGGCACCCTTGCACACACAGCTGGTATCCAACCAATTAACAGGAAAAAAACTTCCTGTTTTTCTTTGAGCAAAAACTTATTGCAACACATTTTAGCTAATGGGTACATCTGATGTGTGATTTCCAGGTGAAGAAGAACTGAAAGCAAGAAAAGTGGAGCAGAAGTAGAGGAGGAAACACCTCCACTGGGTGAGTGAAGCAGTACATCATATATGACAATATTATTCATAATTTGTATCATTACAATAACGTGGTTCGTTACCATAAAACAAATATCAGTCAAATATTGTCTAGAATATTTGCATCCTGAATCCCAGATCACACGCTGCTGGCGGTCTGTATTGTGTTAACCATAACACCCTGCTTCCTCAATAGAGTCCTTTCAGACAACTCCAAGCCTCTTAACAAGACTGGCAGGAGAACAAGAGGGGCTCTCTTAACACATACTGCACTGAATAGCTACAGTGAGGCTGTGTAGAGTTACAAAGAGAGGGAAAAGCAATAAAGAATGAAGGAAATTTGGTATTTTCCATGCCCGTCTAGTTCTGGCAGAAGTGGGTAAGATGTAGAATTTTTGGTGCATATAGATCTATGGTATGTGTAAGGCTAAAAGTGTTTCTTTCTTTATTTTCTTTTTTTATTAAAAGACGCTGATCAAGTAGACTCACACGTTTAATGCTGGTAATAGTCTAAATTTTTCTATTTCTCTACAAATCCCATATTAAGACCAAAAACAATTACTGTCTAAATCCTATAGCTTACTCCTCTGTCATAGTCTTCTCTCGTTACCCAAAAACTATTAAAGCTACATTAGCAGGTGCCCTGGCAGCACAGTGCAGGCGTGACATTGGTGGTTCGAGTCTGACATTGGATGGACATCTTCCCTCTATGTCTCTCCCATTTCCTGTCCACCTTTCTGCAATCCGCTATCAAATACAGACAGAAATAACTTTTAAAAGACACACCAGTGAGCAACACTGTTGAGTTTATGCTTGCAAATGGTATTTTTAGAGTCAATTTTGATACATTCCCAGAACTTTCTTAAAGTAAAAAACATTTTAAACCACATACACAGTATGTTCTGGGGTCTATCATTGCATCACTGATGAAAACCGGCACTCTGATTCTCTGGTCTTCTTCGCACACCCTTTTCTGACCCCTCAACCTCTGTCCTGCTACTTTCCTTTGTTGTGCTTGTTGTCACTGAGCTGTGATAGGGACTGTGCAGGCTTGTAAAGACACATAGTAGCTTCAGGCCTCTGGATGCACACCACTAGACTCACTAATTGCCTCCTCCGCCTCTGTGTTGGAGCAGCCCAGTCCTCCTCAAGGAAAACAGAGGAGAAGGGAGAGCGCTGGTGTGCAGAGTATCCTCCTCAGGAAAAACAGAGAAGGGAGAGCGCTGGTGTGCAGAGTTCTTCTCCTGTTGACTTTTAGTTGCAACATTCCTCAGGTTAAGGAATTTGGGCATGGTGTGTGCGCTTTCTTTCTGTAAATTATTTGCCATGTAGGTAGTGTGCTTCAGTGCTAACACACACTGGGTCTGTTAGTCCGCTAATCCTAGAGTTTTCTAAGCTTGTACACACTGCCTTGAATTATAACACACACACACTGACATCCCGAGTGTGTGTTGTACCTGCCTTTCTCCTGAGTGGCAATTACACATCTCTCTCACACCCACATGTATGCACCTGAACATCCCAATCCAAGCCAAATATCTGGCACTGAGCCGCCTGTGTTTCTCATCACTGTGACCTGTAGCTTTGCATGTGAAACTTGTAGACATAAAGTTGTAAAATGACATTAACACACAGTGTTGCTTATTAACAGCTCAAAGCCATAGCAACTTTGTATATATCGTTAATAATATTCATATTTCTACCTAAATGCAAACATAGAAGAGCAAACAAGGGTGTTCCATGATCTCCATATACTCTGGCTTCACCACTGACATACACACAAAGGTACACATTGTCCTTTGTGCAGGTCAGTTCAGGAATCTACTGTACTTAATGATGTGTATGAGCGGATATGACGATAAGAGCAAACAAACTGTTATTTAGACAAATTTGCTATTCACTGCTACAATAACAAAGCATAATTTCTTTCCCCTCTCCTCTCTGTGGCGGTCTGTCAAGTCGTCTCTGTGCAATGTACTAATCCATAGCGTGCAGACATACAGGAAGACACAGCCTGTATAATGACGACAGAACCATACCAAGAGTTGTGGTTTATTCAGTGAATGGGCTTGAGCAGGCATCATGGTGAAGTTCTCTTTAAAGCACCATAACAGTGGTTCTGAATGTTTTAGCCTGTTTAGCCAAGCAAAACAAATGTGCAGCGGTTAAAAAAAGATGCATCCAAAAGTCTAAAACTTGGTCAGCAGAAATGTAAAGCAGACATACAGTGATCTGTTTCTGAAGGGCTAAAAATTGCAAAAGCGATGGAATGGTCCTTTAAAATGGAGCATTGTGTGCAATAAATAGACATGACAGGTCTGGGGTGAATTTTATGTTTGTGTAATGGATTTCTCTGTATGATTGTGGATGTTTTTAACAGAACAGCCTTGCCATGCAGACCTTAATCTATAACATAGGCAGAGCAGCCCGCTAAAAGTGGTTAAATATTGAGTTCGTTCTAAGAATGCACAATGAATTCCTTTTGGCAGTTTGCTGGATTGTTGCATCCTGCAGTTATAAGTGTGCATGGATACCCAAAACGTTAAACAGAGGCTCACTTGTTTATCGTTTCACTTCTATCATTACCTTCCTCCTCCTCCTCCTCCTTTATCTGCTTTGTGCTGGATATAAGAAATCTCCTGTCACTGCACCTGCCGCAGGCAAATTATGAAGCTGACAATCAGTGCTGGCGTGTTAATAGACTGTTGCTGACATGTCCTTACACTCATCGAGATGGTATGGCTCACCTGTCTAATCAGCCATCAGCACAGGTATGCAGGTCAATGTAATAAACTAGGGATTAAGGACTGATGTTGGTTCACATAATCCAGCCATTTATCTGAGAAATTTTAGTTTAACAGCATCCAAAGGCATTCAGTGCTAGATTTACTTCACAGCAGAGACTGAATTAATAAATTCATTATTTGTAAGCCATGGCAAATTGCACATCCTCTATATATTTAATAAAATAACAGTTGTCCAGCAGTGGAAATGATAAAAACAGAAGACACACGGTTAATCAAATCAGATTTGTCTAAGATGCCTTTCTGAATACATAAAGACAAATTGCACAATTGTAATAAAACTCTAATAAGTCAACAGTAACTGTCATATGCATGTCAATGTTGGGGTGGGAGAACTGCTTCCTTGGCAGCCAGACTCCCGAACGCTGGCACGGTACCATCACAGGCAAGAGTTTCACAATAAATTCTTTTGTGATAACCTAATCAGCACCAGTGATCTTCATTCCACATTTATCTTGTGCATGTGGCACATGCCAGAGGTTTTTTTTTAAAGAAAAAGCCTGGGGGGGGTAGAATAACAAGGAAACTCACTACCAGTAACAGTAAAGGAAGGGGTGTGGAGTAGGGGGCCTGAAAAACAGGTAGCACTGTAAGAGGCCTGTCTATAAATGACAGTTAAGGTAAAGAAAAAAATGACGAAAGTCCCAATTGAGTGAGATTTGCTGTACATTACTTACTTCAGGCCACTGACATTACTTCCTTCTTTCAATCTTTCTCAGTCTTCCTGGAGGTCACTGAGAAAATGTTCCTTAGTGTTTCTCTTCTTGCTTTAATTTTCCAGAGATTAGACAAGGCTGAAGAGAGGCAAGTGTTTTCTGCTGCGACACGCCCCAGTGAATACACAGATGTGTATGCTGTGACCTTCAACTGTTTGCACAGATTTATGCAAAAAGTTGATGTTTACCTGACAACACTAGTGCTGCCCTAAGTTTCGGTGTACTGTCCCATTATTTTATTTTTTAATATTTGTCAAACACAACTTCATGAAAGTTGGAGGAGATACTCAGGCATGTAAATACTGTATGTTCACAGAGTAAGTAGAAAGATGTACAGGCAGCAGAGCTGACAAGCAGACAGATAATGTGTGTGCATTTCCTCAATGAGGACGTGTGACACTGTTTGTCTAAGAAGGATAGTCAGCTTGCCAGTCAGCATGCCCGCCTGCTGCCTGACTCATACACACCCTGTTTCGGTTGTGATCCGATGTGAACTCGCATAGTGCTGTTGTAATGAGGGACAAAGGTAAAACATTGTCAGCATCCAACTGGTTGGTCCATACCTTTATCTTTTAATACAAAAAGAAAAGGAGCTAGGTTTTAAATCAGTCATATTGCGGCTGTATGTCTGGCTTGCTCTCTATGATTTTCTGATATTGAAGGAGTTTTTGTCATATACAGTGGGTACGGAAAGTATTCAGACCCCCTTAAATGTTTCACTCTTTGTTATATTGCAGCCATATGCTAAAATCATTTAAGTTCATTTTTTTCCTCATTAATGTACACACAGCACCCCATATTGACAGAAAAACACAGAATGTTTGACATTTTTGCAGATTTATTAAAAAAGAAAAACTGAAATATCACATGGTCATAAGTATTCAGACCCTTTGCTCAGTATTTAGTAGAAGCACCCTTTTGAGCTAATACAGCCATGAGTCTTTTTGGGAATGATGCAACAAGTTTTTCACACCTGCATTTGGGGATCCTCTGCCATTCCTCCTTGCAGATCCTCGCCAGTTCTGTCAGGTTGGATGGTAAACGTTGGTCGTCATGTTTAACATGTCATTTTGCTTCAGTGGCATTTTGGTCTGTTTCACCCAGATAGATGAGTCGGTGTGAAAATGTGGGAAAGATGTGTATAGACAGGTGTGTGGCTTTCCTAATCACGTCCAATCAGTATAATCAAACACCGCTGGACTCAAATGAAGGTGTAGAACCATCTCAGGGATGATCAGATGAAATGGACAGAGCCTAAGTTAAATATATGAGTGTCACAGCGAAGGGTCTGAATACTTATGACCATGTGATATTTCAGTTTTTCTTTTTTAATAAATCTGCAAAAATGTCAAAAATTCTGTGTTTTTCTGTCAATATGGGGTGCTGTGTGTACATTAATGAGGAAAAAAATGAACTTAAATGATTTTAGCATATGGCTGCAATATAACAAAGAGTGAAAAATTTAAGGGGGTCTGAATACTTTCCGTGCC